AGGACAGAATCCTAGCACCATACACGCACTCGAAATGGGTTGTTGTTGAAATGAAAAGAAGAAAGTGAAATGAAAGTGCTCGAAAGTAAACACTGGCATCAATTAACAGGTTGTGAAACAATAATTGAGAGGTGTTAGAGCCTTGGAATCCACCACTAGTTTTCCTATCCAACTTATGAATGCATAGAAATTGACTCAAGCTTCCTCAACAATAGATTATCGCATAGAAGCCTATGGTATCTAGGTGCAAGATGCATGATTCTCCTAAGGCATGTAATTGTGCATGGTATCTACACAACACGTGATCTCTAATATGCAACCTAAGTATGGTATCTACTTAGAATAAAGCATACAAGAGTCATTAAACTCCATGAGAATATGATAATAGCACAAGTCCTAGAACATGATATCTGTCCTAGTCAACCTATGGTTATTAACCCCTTGAATGATTCTTAGGCCATTCATGTGTTGCTTGTGAAATGAAAGTAGAATTGGTGAATCTAAACCCCTTCCCAACCCGTACTAGATGCATAAAATCCTAGTTAGCTACTCCAAGAAAACATACATCAATCACATAATAAACTGGAGATTAACAACTTGATAATAAAAGCAAGGAAATCAATTAACTATAAAATGATCCATAACATTGAATATTCATGACTAGGGCTTCATCCTAAGCCCTAACTAAATGGATTAGTTAAACATAACAATGAATACAGAAAATAAGAAATACATAGATAGGATAAAGAGAAGAAAAGAACTAGCTGGCAGCAATGTAGTTCCCAGGACAGCTCCAAGCTCTCTTCTCTCTTTGTGGTGAATCTGAATGTGTGTATGAGATTAATGGATGAAGTGAATGTGTGTGTCTGCCTCCTTTGAATGAGTGTGCAGCTCTCTATTTATAGAGTGCAATTTCGTCCCTGGTGAAGCACACCTCTCTTAGCTGCTCCCAACTACTCCAGTTGCCCATACTTGTCAACTACTCCAGTTGACATACTTGCCAACCACTTCAGCTGCCAAATACATGCTTTGGTATGGTTTCTTTATGGAAAGCTTGACTTTTGTTCATCTTTCTAAGTTCCTGAGCTGATTTGACTCTCATGTGTGGCTGCCCAGCACATGGCTCTAGGGATGTAGCCACATTAAATGTGATGACAGCCAACATGATATTTCTGTGAACTTGGTTCAGTCTTTGACGTGCTGAGGGCTCCAGATTTATCCAATTGGGCTTAATTTGGGATATGTTATAATATACACCCATTGGAACAACTTCTATCAAGGATGTCTCCTCATCCGACCTGTGTAAGTTGCTAAAATGAGGCCTGCAAGATGACCCACGAAATTGGACTTACAAGGAGTGTGGCTCAAATTGGTTTTGTCTTTAAGCTTATATTCCTCTTGTGCCACTCAGCCCTTAACATGCATGAATTGTATCAAATGTCATCCCCTTAATATCTTAACCTATAAAACACACAAACATAGGTAAGAGACTCGAAATAAAGAGAAGCTAAACAAAATTACCAAGCAAAGAAGGCATGTAAATGTGTAAAATTATGACCTTATCACATACCATGAGAAAGTTGGCCCCGTAAGGGTGCTAGAAATAGCCTTAGTTTCAAGGCCTCGCGATGCCCAATCTCTGCACATTGGGCCGTGAATCAGCCAGTGTGTTCAACGGTTGATTGGAGCCCATCTCCTGAAAATAGTGCAAAATTCGGAACCTTGAAACCCCTCGGAAATTCCTCTTGATCAAAGTGTTCCGTATATGGCCTCCGGTAGACCGGCCTACCAATCCTCCTAGCATGGGGCACCATATCTTGAATCATTTGTTCGACTGCACCTCGGTTGATTGCATGATTCCCGAGCAACGGGCTATTAGCATTCCCGCCGAGATTATTCCAACCACCGACTTCGGTGAATTGGTTGATATGAGGCCTAGCAAATTGGCTCCAGCCCCTTGGTGAGCTTGTGGGCGGAATTGATTATATGGCGGGAACACTTGGAATTGGTTGACCGCCGCATACAGGTTGTTGCCCATCAGTGGAACATTAACTACTGGGGCTGGGTTGCCCCCAACTGGTGGATTAGGTTGGGGCAGATTTACTCCGAAGACATTTGGTTGGGCCTCCACTTGAGGCTCGACCGCTAGTACTCCATTAGGTGCCCCTTGGTTCCCATTTTGGCCATTTTGTTGGCCTAACCATCGATCAAACGTCTCATTGATCATTTTGAGTGGCCATCGTCTGTGCCATTGTCTCCATGACACGCATGAGTTGTTGGAGTTCCAATGAAGTGGCAGGATTCGGCCTCAAGACTGGTCCCCCGGCGACTTTCGTAATATCTTCAACTAACACTTGGTCATGGTCGACGACTGTTAATCTGCCGGGGCCATTTTGCTCTGGTTGAGCGATCGAAACATTTTGTGGCTGAGTATTCATAGGGAGTGAACCAGCCATGCTTGTCTCTGATTCCAACCGACGTCTAGATTCTTCAAATTCTTGATCTCTTCTAAGATTCCTCCTAGTGTTTACGACCATACAAAACCTAGTGGTCCCACTAGGCGTGTCAAATTATGTTTCCCTTTTTGTGGGCCGGGGCGGCCGACGGAAGGAACTTTTGGTCCTTCTTCTTTTGGATGCGGAGCGTGCCACCACCAAGCCCCGAATGTGGGCTTGAATGGAATGTGAATAGATGGATGTGTTACGCTTCTAACTTCTGACCAAACGATTGATCGGCCAAGCAAGGAATCTCCTCTTGGCCTAGATTCTTTCACTTCCTCGGGCTCAAGGATGGTTAGGTTTCGTACGGATGTTTTTGTGATTTTTATGGTTTAAGTAAAAATAATGCAATTAAACTAAATATGCGTATAAACGTAAAGAAAAGAATTGAAGTGCGATAAAATAGATCAAAGCGATAAACAAAGAAAGAACGAAATAAAAGCGATAAGAACGATAAAATAAACAAACTTGAAATTGAACTTAATTGAAGTGCGATAACAATGAAAATTAAAGTAATATAAACAAACTTGAATTTAAATGACAAGAAATATAAACTTACACTAGAAATATGAAGAACTCACTACACTAGGTGCTTGAAAAATAAAATCCTAAGTCTAGGAAAAGAAAAGTGCGAGACGAAAGATAAGTTTGTTTGTTTGATGTTGTGTGTCTGATGTCTTCGTCGAGCAATATAGGGCACTTGTCAGCCCAAGGGTTGGCCATTGAATGGCCAAAGGTCAACTCTTTTAAAACTTCTTTCCTTCCAAGGCCCCTCTAAATCCGTAGGATTGCATTGATTGAAATATTCTGACGCGCTTGATTCTTCCTTGCTTTGGACCACTCGGAGTTACTATCAAATCCCTTGATTTCTTTCCTCGCGAGGCCTTTGTCATGTACACATAATTTTCTGAAAATTCTGGGGCTCGGATTAGTGTCTTGAACTTGGGCATCTGATTTCTCTTGCATTGTTTACACACACTCAAAACCCATTTATAACACACCAAAAAAATATACAATTGTTGATTTTGAGTATGTTTCTACATTTAAATAGTGTTTGAGTTTTTTTATAAATACATGTCTAGGATTGGGTTTATTTATCAATACACCATTATTGTTATGCTTTATTGCGGTTAGTAGCAGTTTAGGGGTTCATCTATCTATATATATAAAGCAAAAGGCAGAGAATGGTGAAGCATTCAAAATACCAGTAAATGTCCTTGCTTAATTCAATCATTAAGAATTGAAATTATTAATTAAATGAGAATAATATAGTAAATTCACATTTTTTCATATTAAAAAAATTAAAATTAAAAACAAAATCAAATTATAGTTCCTACTTTTATGGAACATAACTACTCATGTTATCTTCTCTTAATTTTAAAAAGAAAAAAAAAAGAAAAAAGAAAAGAAAAAAGAGAAAAGAAAACCAATTGGCACGCACATGCTGACGCATGTGCCAAGGGACTAGTATATATATATAAATACAAAATTGGATGATGGAAGTTCAATAAAGCCCCGGCCGCATATCTTGAAGTTTCAGCCCCACTTATTTGAATATATGTATGTATATATAGAATAAGACAATTAAACCTCCAACCTAAAAAACCCTTCAGCCGTTAACAAATCCAAAAAACTCCAGCCGCCATTCTCCAAAGCTCTGTCTACTCCAAACCAAAACCTTTTCAGCCCAGTTTGCAAAGATACCAAATACCCCAGCCGCATATTCGGCCCGAGACACTAGCTGCTTCGAATCTCGGCCGCCATGAGACTCCTTCATGACCCGGCCGAGCTCTCCCAAGCTCTCTAGCATTTCGGCCGCAAGAACCCCGACATTTCCGGTCGCTAACTCCTCCAATCCCGGCCTCCAAACCCCGACCGAGATCTTCTACTTCATTCAGACTACCCGACTACGTCTCTCAAGGCCAGTATTTCTCCGGTCGTGCCCAGCCGTTTCACAAGCCCTGCTACCCCAACGAACCTCGACCGCTATTCTTCTTGTGCCCGGGTCAAGTAGATTTCTACCACCCTTAAACACAGCCACAATAAAACACATTCGAAGGTCCAAAATCTCTCAACGTGTATTGCTTCCTCTTCCTCCCATCACTGCAGTCACAGCACCTCCGAATCCGGCGTCACGAGCGAAATTCCGGAGCCACCCATTCCCTTGCACTTCAACAAGGTCAGTTTCTTTGCACTTGAATTTCTGATTTGAAATCCTTGGATTTCATGGTGAAGCTCATGAAAAAACAGGCCCAACCCACACGCCTATCAGCCCGTTTACCACCACCTAGGTCCATACGTATCCAATACGGTATCGATACATAATCGATACGCAAAGGATATGGTTCTGATACGGTCAAGATACAGATAGGGGCTATTTTGAAATTATTTGACAATATTTGTACTCTTTTTGAAAATTACAGAACATTTGGGGTCAAAGTATGGATTTCAAAACTTGATTTAATCATACCCAGCCTCGTCTTCTCGACAGAGCCTAGGTTTTTCACTGAAAGAAACGGCGGCAAAAGCACCAGAAGGAAGAAGTAGAAAGCCACCATAACTCTAAATACTGCATCTGCTCCACTTTAACAAATACGGCGGTCTCTTCTTCTCGACTGCGTCTGCAGCTCCACGAGGTTTTCATAGTGAAACGGGGCAAGAGACAATGAAGCTGGACGTGAACATGTTGAGATACCTCTCAAAAGAGGATTTTAGGGTTCTAACTGCTGTGGAAATGGGAATGAGAAATGTAAAAGCCTCTGCTGCTCTTTTGTTTTTGAAATGCAATAAATTTCTCAGCATAGCTCAGCTTTAGTATGCATCTATTTAAATTTAAAGCTTTTCCCTTTTATGTTCTTGCAGCATGAAATTGTACCCTGTGAGCTGGTGGAGCGCATAGCTTCGCTCAAGTATGTATTTAGTTTTGAATTTTTTGGTTGCTGAATTTGAAATTGCCCATCTTTTTCTGTAACTCTGATATGATTTTCCAATTTACAGGCATGGAGGAACTTATAAAGTTCTGAAGAATCTGCTCAAGCATAAGCTCTTGCATCATGACTCGTCTAAATGTAATACAGCTGTTGTGATTCTAACAATCAATAATATTTGTTTTGAATTTTCTCTTATGTTCTTTGCTGTTATGTGAATATAGATGATGGGTTTCGGCTCACCTACCTTGGTTATGATTTTCTTGCAATCAAAACTTTGGTCA